CCGAAACAGTAAGATTGTCTACGAAGACGGGGTATACATGAAGTCCGGTGCTCCATTTGACAGGTTAAAACGAGTTATGAAAACGCCGCGCCCATCGCCGCGCGTGGCGGTGCGGCGAATTACGATCCTCTTTACCGTCTCCCTCTTCTACCCCCCCCCGCACTGCGTACTGTTCCTCGATTGAGGGATCATAGTAGAACGAAACAGGAAAAGCCATGAAAAATCCGCAACCTCAGAAGGTTATAAGGACAAACGACCTCTCCCCCCCCCCTACAACGTCCTTTGAAGAAAAAGAATCAACTATCGAGAAAATTTTCATCAGCCCAAATCGACCGACCCCATCTCCCGGCGACCAAATCCGCTAGAGAATCCCCAACAACGATGTGCCCCATGTACATATTGGGTCTGTAGCACTACGTGCTAAGGAGAATACTTATGGTAGCGCGAAGGCCACCAGGCCCAGAGTCGAATATATAACACAATTGAAACGGGAAAGTTTATAATCGGAAAAGTTCTCCTCATGGCTTGGAGAAATTCTTCCCGTGCATTAAGTCGACTACCGTCCCATCTCATTCTCCAAATACAACCTCCCGATAGGACTATTCCAGAGATGTCAAAGCCGCTTTCGTACTGATTACTGACTTTCGGTGATACGCCACGCATTCAACTCTCACGGGGTAATTGATGTGCTTCCAGTGACATTCTGTGGCTCATCAGTGTACAAGAATTCCATTTCATTCGACGTGGTTGATCGGGCAACCACAGGAATCTTCTGGGATGTGGGGCGGATCCAGAATGCGCCGTGAACACCAAATCGCCGCTTATCCCAGCGATTTCTAATTTTCAACGCTCACGGTATTCCACCTGCATACGTATCTGAAGACGTTTCTTATGGTTACTGCTATTCCTAGCCTACTTGTGCACCTTGGGCTATCAACGTATCTGATTGTTGTGAGATTCTTCAGCTAATTGTTGTGGTAAAACACCTTCCACCTTTGCTAAGTCCTTTTTGAAAGCGGCATGAATTCATGAATTATGGAAACCAAGGGGAATAGGGAGGGTAGCAGACAGCTCATTTAGGCGTCGGGAAATCGCGTCGTGTGCAACCGCATCGCATTACACCGTGCTTCCAACTGCATACTTCTGTGCCTCAGCAGTCGTGCGGTGCGGTCGTACATGCAGCAATTTCAAGGCGCCCACTCCAACTAGCTACCCTCCTACTTCCCCATACTCCATACTATCGAAAGCTGGTGAACGCTGGTGTACGCTGGCAGACGCTAGAGCGACATCTTTTCCAGTAGTTGACGCTGCTGGACGCTCCGAACTCTTATGATCGCTGTTGAGCGCTGGGAGACGCTTGGACGCTGCCGAGAAGTATGAACGCAGCCCTAGGGATCATAGTGTTTTCAAAGCATTCCAAAGCGTGATTGCTTTTAGCGGAGAACATCCGGGCTTCACTCCCGTACCTTAACCTTTAGGTGGCACATAGTTATTGAGGAATTTGGTTGAGTCCTACGACACCTCTGTGGAGCGTAGCCTGGAACGACCGCCTCCCTCTGTCTGACGTCATCGTACGATCGAGTTGTCATGTGGAGAGGAGGGGGAGGGCAGAACACTCATGTGAAGCGGAAGGAAATCGCGAGGGAGAGACACCCCCCCCTACAGCCACCCTCCCCATCCCTACCGTACCGTTCTTTCTGGAATTTTGCGAGAATTTTTAAATACGGTCAAGTAGGACCCCCCCCCTCCATAGCGGTCAAGTACAACCCCCCTTTTAGGGGAAACCTCAGCGATGATGTGCCCTGGCGAAGTGTTCGCGGCGCAGGTGGGCACTACATGTACATGAGTGCGCATCATAACCCATGGAATAAGGTGATTTTTTCGTGACAGCCCATGTGGAACTTCGGTCTTTTTCATGTAGACCAAGCGTCTAGCGATAGCGATACGCCGAGGAGCTGAGGAGACAATGGCAGAGTGTTCATTTCCACCATTTTTTTTTCGCAGAATATGAAAAACAATTTATCATTCAAAGGATAAAAGAATAAAGTCTTCGCCGTTGATCAATCCCTTTGTGGGATGCGGCACGCATTCTACTTCCATTCAGAATCGTAGTGGCTTATTGAATGCGATGTGGCCTACTTGCGGGAGCCAGCCGATGTACAAGTCAGTGTTTTATCCTCCCAGACGAATCTGGTACCAATTCCGTCCGGAAGAAGGCTTGGTTGGCCTGGGCGGGAGTCGAACTGGGATTCGAACCCAACACAGCGCGAATAGTCAGCGCTCCACTCATGTACACCGCTTCCGCCTTATTTATCATTTATTCATCGTCAAATACACCTAACAGGGTACAGCAAAATCTTCAACGATGTTAGCCCTGTCATCCTCTTCCGCAATCACCGAATCCGCAAGTCACCAAGACTCGCATTGTCATTCGAGTCGAATAGTCACCGTTCACCTGCAAAGATGTAATTCTTCTTTTCAGGACCGCGGAAAATCCTACCGTTTGTCTTCTTGTGCATTAAAACCTATGAACAGGCGCAGACGACAAAAGGAATGCCGTGGATTGTTTTGCCTGTTTTGCTGATCTCATTCCGCTCATCCGACGCAACAATTGCAAAAGTTTTCCTATGAATGATTTAGAAGTTGGTAAACTTTGTTATAGGGTTTTTGCTAAGTGACAACTACTCTTTTCGCATGTTAGCGGATTCCTAGTTCTTGCAACTTCGAACTGTACAACATACTCGCGGCTCACATGCGATTATATGAGACGAGCTAATGAACCAATGTGGTCGAAAAAGGTCGCTGCCCCGATCAGGAGGGGCACTCTGCACCCCAACTCGCTCCCTCGGTGAACTCTCCTTGACTAACAGGTTTCCCGTTTTCGAGTTCTAAAAACTATGCGGAGCTGAGAACTTCAGTTACGGGAACGCACCTTCACAAGATATCCTGTGCAGTGCCCCTACCAAGCTGAACTGCCCATTGAACGGTGCAGTTCGGCGAGGGGGGAGTATTCCGCTCTTGTGCTGCTTCCCATCAACGTGTCGATCAGGGCACATCATTAGTTGGGGATTTTGGTCGAGTCCGTACGACATTCCCCTATTTTTCAGGAGGTTGGTACGACACTCCTCCCCCTCTGGTTTCCTCCTCATTGAGCTGGTGCGCGGGGAAGAGGGGGGGGGGGGTCCAGCAACAAGTTAACGTCCGCAAAACAAGCAAAATCAACGATCATGATTACTTTTTCGCAGCCCAAATACGGCCCCACCCTCTTTCAGCGACCAAATACTACCCCGCCCCCCGTTGGGGAATCGCCAGCAACCATGTGCCTGGTGTCCACCTATCTAGACATGTATCTTCTCGAGTTGACAGGTTTTAACATGATGGCTTGACGACCTTGTTCCAGCTTCACAAGAGTTCACAGGTTTCGCCAGAGTGAGACTTGTAAACCGGAACTAAAGAAGCAGTGATAGCTTTAGAAAAAATTTTCCACATGCCCACCCTTTCTAGCGCTAATCTGCCAGCAACCAAGGGTGCCAAGAACCAAAACAAACTCTATCCAAAGCAAAGCCAGTGTCTGATGGATAGTCAAAGGATTCATGGAGAAACGAAGGAATGAGATATCGTGTCAACTTTGTACACCTGTCGTCGAGCCCTGTTGTAAGCCGAATGGCTACTTTACTTCGCTTTACCTGCAAAAAAAGAGATTTTCAGGGAAGCGCGGATAAGGGCCATATAACAGCAGGCATGAAAATGAGAGCGTCAGTTACTATGTCGCGTCGCACTTGTACGTTTTGAGGCATGTGGACCTGGATTCGATGGGGTTTCTGGCGTTCGCAACCCTCCAGCTCCAACTTTACGACATTGGGTGGTGAGGGAAGAACATCTCTCAAGCGCCTGTTGAGCTGCGTTTACTATGCACAGGAAGGATACGATTAGTCTCTGGAGGTGTTTTCAAGAACTGATGACGTTACCTGGTACTCAAGATGTCCACCGCCATCGATCAACGCCGAAGTCTGTCCAATGTTCTTCACGTTAGCATTGGGTGGCTCCTTGTATGTCCTGAGGATAGTCGGCTTTGCACCACAGTTCTCACCAGTGATCACTAGATGTGTGGCTTCTGATCGTCCTCATTAAAGTGGTACCTGGAACAATGAATATTTCCTCCTTTATACGGAAATCTGAAAGTTATCAGCAATTCAGAACCGTTCAGGGACACCCTTCTTCAGAAAGTCTCCCTGTGTACGCCATTACGGGAAGTGATCCCCATGTCGTCATTCAATGACAATGGAAAAGAGAGCATCAACTCACGCCTGGCTGTCGTTTCATTAGGAAAGGTGAACTGAGCCCACACGTTGACAGGGGATGTGGTGAAGACCTTCACGTTCAATTTACAAGCTGATGCTGCCGAAATGAGCACGACCAGAAGAAGAAAGCGCATCTGTAACTGAATTGTTCGCCTTTACATGCGAAAAATCAGATAGTATACTTGACCATGATCGCACCATTGGGGGGGGGCTAGTCAATTTACATTTCTGCACAGGGAACAGCATCATTGTGACCAATGGAACCCATGGGGAGGGTCGTACTTAGCCGCTGGGAGGGGGGGGGAGGTTGCAATTGCAGGGCCGGTGAGCACCAAACAGCACGAAAGGCATCGCTAAGTCTGATGGAGCGGACAAAAAGTTGCAGAGGACCCGGATGTAAGCAAGACTGCAATGTATCAACAAAAATCATCCAACATTAGAAGTACACCTTTCCACCACCTCTGCGTAGAAGCGTAATGCACGGCGCACACTCGGACCAAATCGATCGATGATAACCAAATTATGCTTTGACTCAGTTCAACGGGAATATGTGTTTTGAAGGCATATTGAAGTTCCCGAAGCAGTATCCTTACAATGCCCTAAGAGAGTCGAGCTTTTAAGTGGCTCAGATTGCCGCCCAAGGGTGACCCATCTAAAATATCTTCTAAACTAGCGGGTCTCCAGGAGAAATGAGAGCTCGTTCAAAAGAGGGGGATTATTGGGCGTCTGACGGCTTTTTTAGTTTCGCAAAAGATGCATGTGAACGAAATTATTGTCGTCTGAAACATAAAAATCGGCTCTAAAATAAAATAAAACAAAATCTAAAATCCCTTTAATGCGTCCGTAAACATCAAAAATATTTCACGAACGGGAACATGTCAACTTCCTTTTCTCAGAAGCCACAAAAACACCTTAGGAAGCTATAACTCGTGGGAAAAGTCCCGCGAGGCGCTGTTGGGCGACGGGGGGGGGGTATTTCGTACTACCATTCGTCCTTAGTTCCCGTTTACAGGTCTCGGAGACCTGTAAACCCTTGTGAAACTCCAGCAAAGACATGAAGCCATCATGTCAGAACCTGTCAACTCGAGAAGAGGGGTATGTGACAAGAGGATCGTAATTTGCCGCGCTGCTGGGCGTCGCGTGCGACGTCCCGCCCGCAAAGGACGATGGTTTCAGGCAGTAGATGGCGACAACATGCAATTAAGGACCGAAAACAGTAATGAGTGTCTACGATGACGGGGTCTACATGAAGTCCGGTGCTCCATTCGACAGGTTAAAACGAGTTATGAAAACGCCGCGCCCATCGCCGCGCGTGCGGTGCGGCGAATTACGATCCTCTTTACCGTCTCCCCGAGAAGAGGCTGTCTAGTTAGAACGACACGTCCATGGGAAGCAGCAGAAGGGCAAACTGCCTCCCGTCGCAAAATTATGCCCCCCAGAGATTTCCATCCGGCTAACAGGTTTGCTCCACTGCAAATTTGCCGAAGCACGAAACCTACGGAAGCAAAAAACCTTGCCCTACCAGTGTAGCAATAATGTACGCAGACTGGCTTATGAGGGACCGTTTCACAATGCATGTCTACAAGTCATAACACAAGGTCACAACCGAGGATGCCTTGGATATGAGAAAGTGGAGACGTCTAGCAGCTTCCGATCCGAAGACTGCTGCCTTAACTAGCGGTAAGAGGGAGAAAGTGGCCTGCACAAGGCTTAGTTCGGTCAGTCGATGTGAAAGTTGACCAGCGTCCAGACTCCGCGACGGCAGCGCCTCGGTCGCGCATTTGACGCAACCAATGCGCATGCTCTCGACTGAATCGATCGCGTCAAACGCGCGACCGGGGCACACCCGTCGCGAAGTCTGAACGTTGCCTTAGCTTTGCCATCCTATTACAAAGTCTTTTACTCCGGGCGGGAACCTATAAAAAAATATATGACATTTGGACCTTGAGCATGATGAGCGGTGTCGCCACAACCTTTCCGCCTTGGGTGGTCCATTGTAGAACGGCACCATGGAAAAGAAAGCTCACGGACATGAATGTATACGTATACTTCAAAGGTTCGAACAGTGTGATATCAGGGTGTCCGACATTACGCTTAGGTGAGCGCTGGTAGTCAGTTGACTCGACATAGCAAATTATTATAGTTTACATGGAAATAGCATGAACCAAATATGACGTGAGCTGCCATGACACAATGAATTTGACGCGTGTGCGGCATCGAGTCAGCTTTCTAGTACTACCTGCTAATTTGCGCGAGATAGCTCCTCGTAGCTTCGACGCGTGAAACAGGCTAAAATACCAATTTTTTAATTGATGGAATTTGAATTACTTAGTTTCTTTTAATCACGCGGCTTCAGCTAGGTTCAGGTCCATTACTGAGCAATGGCCGTTAGCTCTCAAGTAAAGCACTGCTGAAGACAGAGAGTGAAAGATGTCAAGTTCCTGTTCATCAAGAAATGAGCAGCTAGGCTAACTGAATGGCCAGTGTAATTGTAATAATAGGTAAAACAATCTTATTCATAAAAGATTGCAACACGACAGCATCCAGCATCCAGTGAATCGTTACGTTAACCCAAATTCTAGATGATTTATCGCTCCTTGACTTATCGAAAGGAAGAATGTATAAAAAAGTCGAATATTACAGAAGAGTGCAGACGGTTTGATGTTGACACCTACTGATCAACTTCCAATTTACACTGAATAAAAAACACTGCTCCTCGCCTTGGGAAGAACTGTGGTGGCAAGTGGAACCACTAGATCAAGGGGTTGAGTTCTGGACCACATCCTGCTCAAGTCTCTCACTCGGGATCAGACCCCTCTCGGAGAGAGAATATGCATCAACCCTTCATCTCTTTGCATAAGCCATTCTAAAGTGGTGCTAGAATGAATGCGGGAGAATTCATGAAGCATCCCAAGTGGAGTGACCAACTCTGAAATCTTCATAATAGCTTTTATTGGGTGGAGGGAGGACATTTGAATGAATTTCTCCCCCACTTTCATAGACATGACAGCCTTGAACGCATATTATGTTCGTTTATTCGAACAGACTTCGATTTTATTGGAGAGCTGTGATCGTTTTTACAGAATCGTATAGATTAAGGGTAACGACGTTGATCAGTCCCCTTTTGGAATGCGGGGATAAATCCTCCAAGACGAGTAGGACTAATACGCCTGGCAGGACGGAATTCCGCGACCCTGAGCAGGCGCTGCATAATGCCTTTTCCAAGGGAGGTGCCCTTATAAGGGCCCTATCAAGCCACAACTTTACGACCCAAACGCCCGCCCGCCCACAAATGGACGACCGTTCCAGACGCTCCAGACGCTCGAATCATTTGCTGAGCAAATTATGAAGCGAAGGGATTGGTATGAAGCGGCCGTGATGCTGCATGCATACACT